CATCATCATCATCATCATCATCATCATCATCATCATCATCATCATCATCATCACCACCATTATCGCAATCATCATCAATACTACTTTCTCCCTTAGCACATAAATAATAATCACGCTTTTAAAAAGTTCACATTAATTCCCCTTGAAAGGGGTTTAATATAACATAAGAGTTTTGCTTTGTTTTCTAAGTTGAGTGACCTGTCTTTAATGCAGTCACTATCCCCAGTTAGCATGGCTGCCCGGAGAGCGCAAGTGAGACAAGTTGTGGTTGTTAAAGGTCATGTTGAAACTTAAATTTAAAGATTTCACATCTTTTAACGCTTAGCCAAGCGATTCCCTTAAAGTAAGCTATTCAGTTCCGGTGTGCGCTTTATCCCAGTTAATATTTTAAACATTTTTGGTGATTTGAATCTAAGAAAATTCTTCTTTTTGTAAAAGAATTGAGTAATATGGCATTGATTTTCTCGCCTCTTGTGGGCACCCCGTTAGCTTGGTTGGTATCTTACTGGACTACAGAACCGATATCCTTGGTTGGAATCCCCGACTGGATGTTCTAAAATTTCCGGTTGTTTTTGGGGAACTTCCAAGGCTCTCAATCCTTTAACCTTGTTCCTATATGCGATGGTCGCTAAATCGGACGTCTCGTCTCTGAAATAACTTAAAAAGCCTTGGATTTTGCTTCTGAAATTTGACAGTTTCGAGAACATGAGAGGGGGTAGAGAAGTCGATAAAGGGTCTTATGGAATTAGAAAGTCCAAGGGGAGGAAGTGATGAGTCAAGAGAGGCGGGAATAAAATGAAGAAGCAGAAAACAAAGAAGAAGAAGAAGAAGAAGAAGAAGAAAAAGAAGAAGAAGAAGAAGAAGAAGAAGAAGAAGAAAAAGGAGAAGGAGAAGGAGGAGAAGGAGGAGAAGGAGGAGAGGAGGAGGAGGAGGGGGAGGAGGAAGAGGAGGAGGAGGAAGAATGGCCAACTGCAGCATTAATTTGCTCTTGGAACCTTCTCCTCATCCCTTTCCTAGCCCTCCCACTCTCAGCATGGTTGTTACGGTACTGTTACCTCCGGCAAACAGTCTTAGCCATGAGGCATTAGGTAAACAAACAAGCCGTGTACATCTATATTCTGCCAGGCAAAGGTACGTGTCAGGTCAGTCAACGAGAAACGTTACGATAGTGTGCATGTCTCAGTTTCGCTCTGTTGTCGTATCGTATTAATCCCAGAACACAGGAGAAATCTCGAACGCTGGCAAATGCGAGAAAAAGAGAGAAGGGGTAAGGGGAAGGTGGGCTGATGATCAAGGGAGGTTGGGGGGG